GAATTCCCAGGCAGGGGGACGGCCCTGCGAGGACTGCTAGGTCACCTGCATATTTGGACGCTCTCAGAGCAGGCAGAATGACCAGGAGAACGTCCTGAACAGCTGTCAGTTTTCACAGCCATGGAGATGCTGCTTCTTCAGACCCTTAAAGTCCAGCCTCTCCTGCCTGTGGCCCCTAGGAAGGGGCAAGAAGACAGAAGTTTCCCCTACAGCATCTAGGATCAGAGACAATGAGCCCTGGCCTGGCTGGCTGACAGTTCACAAGCCCATCTCTCACACAAAAGCAGAGTCATAACTCCCCAGCCCATCTGAGCGGCAGAATCCCTGGGGTGGGGGGCACCTCCTAAACCTGCAGACATGAGCCCTTGCTCACCCAGAATTCCCCGGCTAAGTTCCTGAGGCAAGGGGCAGATTCTAAGCAGATGGCTCTTCAATGCAAACTCCTCTGGCTTTACAGCACCACGAGCCAGCTAACCACATGTCCAGAGCCAGGAAATCACCTTTGAAAATGCTGGGTTGGGTAATAATTACAAATAGGTTACGGTTAACCATAAAATAAGATGTCTGACCATTGAGTAAGAGATGAAAAGAAATCCTTACCCAACAGGAATCGCTGAGGCCTCAAGGGGGCGCCATTGTCATGAAGTTCCAGCATCACCCGCACTAGCCCTTGGTGGCGTCCAGCACTCCTGGCAGATAGCTGAGAAAACTTGGACGGCTTCCCTCTTTTGTGTGTTTAAGGGCAAAAGAAGACACAGCACAGCACCCAAGACTATGGGAGCCCCAGGAATAGGCTTCAGGAGGAGCATGCAACACCTGGAAGAAGCAGCTGGCCATCTGAGAAGGCCCTTTCACACGCTTTCCCATGCTGCAAGAAAATGTCTGGAGAGCCCAGGTTAAGAAGGCCAGCGAGTGCTTTCAACCCCCATCAGCAGTCGCCAGGGCAGGAGAGACAAGATGTGGAAGGAGAAAGGAAATTCTGGGAATTCTTGCTTAGAGACGGAATGGGCATCTGGCCAGGTGGTTAAGTCGGCTGGCCGAATGCCCGGTTCAAGCCCTGGCCCTGTGTTCAGTTCCTGCTTTCTGCTGACGTGCACCCTGGAAGGCAGGAGGTGAGGGTGTAGTACGTAGGTCCCTGCTACTAGTGTGAGAGACCTGGCTTCAGTTCCAGGCACCCTGGCTTTGGACTGGCCCAGCTGTCGCAGGCGGTGGGGGAAATGAACTTACATGGAACCTGTGTGCATGTTCACACGTGTGCCTTCCAGATAAACAGAATTAAAGCAAAGCAAGGAGGAAGCGAGGCGCTCTGGGCTCGGATTCTGGGACCCTGGCTGACGACGGCAGTGGCCCCATGCCTCACTCACTGGTTTTGTCTCCACTGGGCCAGGTGTGCTTTGCTTCAGACCAGAGCAGCTCAAACTGTCAGGCAGGGCCTCCTCTGCCAGGATTTCCAGGCAGCTCTTGGGAGGAAACCCCAGGACCCTTCCATTACCACTGTTTGGCCCCACAGTGCCCACTCCATACCTCCCTCCTGGCCCCTCATTGGGTACAAGGACAGTCTTGTACCATGGTTGTTGTATCCCAAGATGGTGGGAAGAGAAAACTTGGAAGTAGGGCTGTGGGCCCACAGTAAATGCACCTGTGGTTGGCCATGCTGGCAAAGCTGCCCTGCACACGCTGGCCCTCCACAGGTGGGTAGAGCTGTTTCCTGTGAGGTCTCCTGAGAGCAGGTGTCATGGCACTGTCACCCATTGGCCCTCCCTTGCGTGGGCGTGACAGCCTACCCGGAGGCTGTGAGAGCGTGTTCTTCTCAGCCCTGTGTTGAACCTCAGGGGAGGGAGCACACACCTTAGGCACTTAAACTTCTGCAGCTTGAGTGTGTTCCCCCAGCAATTTTACACTACCCTAGATGTGGCACAAACACAAGCCACACACTTGGCATGGCTCCAAAGGTATCTGCCGGGCGCTGTCCCCAGTTGGGACAAGCCCTCAGGTGGCCAGGCTGTCAGCCAGCTGACCAGCACGGGCTCTGAGGCCAAGGCAAGTTGGTGCTCCAGCCGCCCCTCCAGCCTGCGGGACACTGGCAGCACTTTAAAAGTGAGCGCATTTCTTTGCAGCGGATGGGAGAGACAAACTCCTGTTGCCAATCAAGCTTGCGTTGCTTCCGCAGTGAGGTCTCCAAACATCACTCAGGCTGCTGCCCCAGACGCAGCCAAGGGTTTCTGGAAAGATGACATCCCCGCCCGGAAAGCAGTCAGAGGTCAGCTGCGTTTCCTCTCTCACCTGTGGCACACACCCAAGCAGGCCGAGGGAGCATGAGGAGCCGTGGGACAGCCTGGCACAAGCAGTGCGGGCCCATGTGTGTGGCCCAGTTCTAAGCTCACGGGCCCTTCCTGGCATCTTTGCTACCGGAAATGTTGCAAAGAGGAAAGGAAAATTGAGCAAAATCAGGACGTTAATGAGGACCTTTCTGGCTGGCTTCCTGGAGTCGGAGGTTGTGTCAGGAGAGGGCTCGATAGAGAGGCTCTCCCCTGGTAGGCTGTGGACAGAAGCTTCTGGAAGAACAGGTCCTCTCAAGAGAGGGGTCCCTAAAGGTTTCAGAAACCCCTACAATTAGGAAAAGATGGGATTTAATACATCTTTGGGAATCACACTGCATTAACAGGAAGTCAGGCGATCCTGCAGCCTTGGGTGGCTTTCTAACTTGTCTGCAAGTGCCAGTGGAGGAGCCTGAGCACCCCATGGTGCAGACAGGAGACCCTAGTGTGGCCCAAGCGGGGTTCGCAGACTCAACACTGGGGTGCAGTGTGCACCTTCAGGAGGTCTCATGGAGTCAACTCCGAGTCGGGGGTCTCCCTTACACACCCCTGGCCCTGAGTAACACCACAACTCCTGTTTCTACCACAAGGAAGATGGCCAATGCCACCGGCCACTCGGCAGAGATTGCCGGCACAGTGAATCAAGATCCTGGTCTTGCAACCCCTGCGCTGACCTCCACGCACCTGCAGCCCTCCTCAGCCTCCCTTCCCCGGGGCCTCTTGCGGGTCAAGCTGGCCGACTCTGGAAGGGGCCCCATCCCTGAGTCACTGGCCGTCTGGGCTCTGGGAAATCTGTCACCCAAGTCTTTGGCGCCTTGCATTTACTTCCGGCCATGAGATCAGCACCGAGGAAAGCACGCAGCCTCCTGACCCAGGTCCCTCGTGGAACAATCTGGATCCTCCTGACCAGGGGGCGGGACCTGGCCACCAGCCACTGTGTGCAATTCCCAGGAAGCAGCCTGACCCGGTGCGCTGTCCTCCCACCCCCGCTGTGCCTGGAAGGACTTCCCTTCCATCTTCTTCTGCCTCTCCTTCTGGGCTCCAAAGCCTGCTCTGCCTGGCTAACTGTTCTTCACCAGCAGAGGAACAGCCCGCGGGGCCTGCACAATGAGCGTTTTCTTTTCAGACGTAGCTCACCTCTTAGGGAGGCTGTGGGAAGGTTCAGGAATGGCTTTTTTTTTTTTTTTATACTAGTCACAAAGCAGTAATGCCCCAGAAAGACGACGCAGGACGGAGATCCACAAGGCCCACAGAAGAGTGGCCAGCGAGCCGAGGAGTACCCTGCTTTCCAACTCCCAATTCTTGGGTTCATTCGGTTGAGAGCATCTTGAAGGAAGCAGGCCAGTTCGTTTCCTTAGAAAACTCCCGCCCACGGGCCGTTTATACATAACCATCTGTGCTAGGCGCAGCGCCTCGCCTTCGGGACCCGCACCCCGAGTGTCTCACAGGAGACCCTCAAACTGGGCCACAGCAAAGCCAGAACCCCTAGCCTGCCTTTCTCCGGCATCCTCCGGCTCCCCTCACAAGTGGCTTCCGGCCAAGGGGTACCCGCTGGCCGCCCGCTCCCACGGCCCCGCCCCGGTCTGCCCATCCTCCGCGCCCGCTGCACCCGGGAGCCCGGGGCGAGCCTGGACAGACGTGAAGGACGGGCCTCCCCCGCCCCGGAGCCTCGCCGCCGCGGCCTGCCGCCTCCTGCCCGCCTCACGGCGCGAACAAAGCCGCAGTGTGGAGGGCAGCGCGGCGCCCGAGCCGGGAGGTCGGCCCGGCGGCGGGCGGGGCGCCGGGGTTTATCTGAGGACAGCCCCGGCCAGGGCAACGTGCGCTCCGTGGACCGTCCCGGGGCCGCAGGAACCCCCTCGGGCCGGCGCGCTCCGGCGGCTAGCGACGCCCCCGGCCGTCCTTCAGGCGACGCCTCGCGCCGGGAGCCGGGGGCGCGACCGCGGGGCCGGCGCTGCGGGCGCGGACCGCGGAGCCCGCTCGTGGGCCGGGATCGCCTCACCGAGGCCCGCCGCCCCTCGCCGCGACCCCGGCCGCGCGGTGGGCGGGGCGCGCGCGGGGATTCTTTTTTTTTTTTTTTTTTTGGTCAAACTTTAGCCACGTGAACCGCCCCCCATTCACTTTTGCGCCAATCGCGCGGCGCGGACGGATCCCGAGAGGGGCCACGGCCCGCCGCTTCTGCCGCCGCCGCCGGTGCGCTTCATAACGCGCTGTGCGTGACGTGAGGGGCTCCTGTTGCAATGGCGAGCTAAGCCGGAGGATGTGCAGCGGCGGCGCCGGCCACGAAGAGGACTGGGGCGGGCGCAGTGCGAGCCGAGCCGAGCCAGCCGCGGGACGCCAACGGGGCGGGACGGGGGTCCGGGCCCGGCTGCCACAGCCGTCGCCATCGCGCTGGCCCCGAGCCCCCGCGCACGAGCGGGAGGAGCCGCCGCCGCCGCCGCGTCGCGCCCGGGCATGGTCCCCTCTTAAAGGCGCAGGCGGCGGGGGCGGGCGTGCGGAACAAAGCGCCGGCGCGGGGCCTGCGGGCGGCTCGGGGGCCGCGATGGGCGCGGCGGGCCCGCGGCGGCCGCGGCGCTGCCCGGGCCGGACCTCGCGGCGCTAGGGCGGGCTGGCCTCCGCGGGCGGGGGCGGCGGGCTGAGGGCGCGGGGAGCCTGCGGCGGCGGCGGCGGCCCGGCGGGCGGAGCGGCGCGGGCATGGCCGCGCGTGGCCGGCGCGCCTGGCTCAGCGTGCTGCTCGGGCTCGTGCTGGGTTTCGTGCTGGCCTCGCGGCTCGTCCTGCCCCGCGCCTCGGAGCTGAAGCGAGCGGGCCCGCGGCGCCGCGCCAGCCCGGAGAGCTGCCGGCCCGGGCAGGCGGCCGTGGCGTCCCAGGCCGGTGGGGCGCGCGGCGACGCGCGTGGGGCGCAGCTCTGGCCGCACGGCTCGGACCCGGATGGCGGCCCGCGCGACAGGAACTTTCTCTTCGTGGGAGTCATGACCGCGCAGAAATACCTGCAGACCCGCGCCGTGGCCGCCTACAGGTGAGCCCCGCTCCTCCCGCGTGCGGCATCCCAAGGCTCCGGGGCTTCCCGTGGGATCGGGGTGCCCTCCCCCGGCCGGTGCGGGGCGTGGGCATCAGAGGTGTGCGGCACCCGGGATCGCGGTGGGCTTGTAGGGACTCGGGGACTAGGGTCACCCCTCTGGGTGTGTGTCTCCCACTGAGCTGTCGGGCAAGTCCCCTTGTTGAAAGAGCCCCAGGGCCCTGTGTTTGCTTTCTAGGGCTGTGGAAGACGGACAGCCGGCACCCGTGACAGTGGTGGCTTCTCTGCCCGTGCAAAGCCCGAGCCCACGTCCGGATGCGTTTAGGTTTCCCCGTGGGAGTCATTCCTGTACGGGATAGGCAGGGCGCCGGCTGCACCAGCTCAGCGACGCCGGCTCTGTTGAACACAAGGAAAGAGAATCGGGGACCAAGCTGCCCCAAGAGCGGGTTGGGCTCAATGGAAGGCGTCTTGCTTTGGCCCCCGGTGCAAGGCAATAAGCAGTGTGGGCAGGCTTCCCCTCACAGGAGTCCTGGAAGTGACTGCAGGCGCGTCGGGGATTAACAGGGATTAACCCAAGTCTTTAGTACTGGGAGGTGGTTTTGGAGAGGCAGGCGTGGTTCCGTGGGAGTGGGAAAGCAGTGCAGAGGTGGGTGGAGGCCACCTGCTTGACTGTGTGACAGAGGCTGGGTTCCCCTGTGTGAGGATCCTGGGGCGGTGGGTGCTGAGCAAGGCTGGCCAGGTTCCTCGCTTGTAAGCAGCACCTTTGCTGGCCGGGCGGGGCTGGGATTTGAAGCACTAGATGCTGTTGGGAGGAGAAAAAAAACCCCTTGGGATCTTCCTCACCTAAAGAGGAGGAGGTAAGGGTTGAGAATAAAGGTGATGAGCCGCCTGTGTCTGGCTGAGGTCCTGGGCCAGCGCTGTGCCAGGGAGGGCTCTGTTAAAAAGCTTAGAATGCAGCTCGGGCACCGGGTGCAGCAGGCAGGAGCCATGCGCGTGGCCAGCTCCCAGGGTTTGGTGCCAGTCCTAAATTGTCTGAGGTCGCTACGTTCCTAGACACAGGCCAGAGGCTGAGGGTGAGTCTCCACTGTTGGATTTGCAGTTTGGTGGCAGGTCACCGTGAACCAGCGGCCAGCTGCAGGGCCATGACAAAAGAGGTCGTCCGGGTCGTTAGGTGATCCCTGGTCCCCCGGCCCCAGCAAATAACGCGTGTATGGTCACAGAACCGCGCCGACCGTGCGCAGCGTTGTACCAGCCGGAGTTGGCATTGTGCTCTTGGGCATGGCTTTCAGGAGCTCAGGCTTTGTGCTACCTCTGGCCGCCTTGCCACATCTCCCACCTGATCTTAACTGTGGATGTAAGATTGTGCTACAAGCCAACGCTACCTCCTATCTCTTCTCTCTTCCGGATCTGACAGGGGCCCATGGGTTCCCAGGGCGGCCCCTGCCCCTCGGCCCATCCACTCGCCCACCTTGCGATTGTTTAGGCTGGCTGCAGGACGTGGCGCCGGCGCCCTGAGCTGTCAGGACCTCTCAGGAGAGGCCCGAGGGAGGCTGGAGGTTTCATACTGTTCTGTCTCTGAGGTTGGAAGTGCTGTGCCCCGTTCACAAAAAAGGAGGTTTCAGATCTTCCAGGCCAAGATGGAGCCGGGTCTGGAGCCGGGCATGCTGGAAGGTGTGTTTCTCAGAAGAAAGTGAATCCATTCTTTGTCTAAGAGTAGAGGCTCCAGTTAACCGTTGCTTGGCTTACAGATGAAGGGCACACCACACTGACATTGTGGTACCAGATATTAGCCATGCCAGAGCTTAGGTCTGGGGACCAGTGACCAGCAGGTTCTTGGGGGTTGTTGGGGTGCCATAAGTGCTAAACCCCACCCCCCACGAATCACTGCTGTGAGGGGAGATGGGCCTGTGTGTGTTACAGACCCTGCCCTTCATGGGCGGAACAGTCCTGCCATTGCCCATGGTCACTTTGCACTGAAAGTGGAGAGAGGGTCCACCGCCAGAGAGAAGCGGTTACAGCTGATCGCAGAGCAGATGGAGATGTTCAAAGACGCCAGTGTGGGTCAGAGACCAGTGTGGTCTGTCTCACCCTCCAGGCCCCAGGAGCCGCTGGCCTTGCCCTGAGGCTGTGTTAGAGCTCTGACCACACGCCACCCCTGCGGGGCCTGACCCTGAGAGCCTGGCATAGCATCACCCAGAGGCTTTCTCTCCTGGTCAGGGCAAGCCACTCAAAGAGGTTGTTGGCTGCTAATAGGTGCTGGAACGGGAGGGGTGGGTGGGGTGATGTCCTCCCTGCTCTGGGTGTCATGAGGCTTCAGGGAGCATGGCATCAGGCTGAGGTGTGCCAGCAAGCAGCCTCCTGTAGGCATCCCCGGTTGGACATGCCAGCGCAAGGCTGGAGCTGCCTTCCTGCAGGGCAGGGAGAGAAGGGACTGGGAAAGACCTGGACAAGAAAGGCCATCGCCTCTGGCCATGTCCTGGCTCTTTGAGAAAGCACTCCTACCAGGGCCTTGATGTGGGAAAGGCAGGTGGGTGGCTGGCAGTCCACAGATGCAGTGTTTGTGTTTGGACCCCACCAGAGTTGTTTATCATGCTAATTAATGGCCAGTTGGGAAGACTCCAGCAGGATTCCTTGTGTTTAGTTAGTAGTCACAGTTTGATTTCTTAGTTACATTTTGGCTATGAGGAGTTTGTAGTTTGATGTCTAACTTTCCCTTTCTGGTTAGTTTCCCTCATCCCCACTTCAGCTCAGAAAATTACTGCCTTGGGGAGTTCTGTTTATTTATTTTTAAGATTTATTTTTTATTTGAAAGGCAGAGTTAAGAGATTGTCCATTCGCTGGCTCATTCCCTGAGTGGCTGCAGAGACGGGCTGGGTGTGTCTGGCCTGAAGCTAGGAGCTGGGAACTTCCTCCGGGTCTTCCACGCAGGTCCAGGGAGGGCTTTGGGCCGTCTTCAGCTGTTTTCCCAGGCAGATTAGCAGGGAGCTGGATTGTAAATGGCAGAATGGGCCTCGAAGCAGTGCCTGTATGAGCTGCCAGCATTGCAGGCAGTGGCTGTTCACTTTTCCCGACTTCAGAAAGTGTAGGCGTCGTGTCAGCCTTGTAACTGCCCCCTCCCCCAGCAGTGCCTTGTCTCAGCACCATGTGTTGGGTAAGCGCTCATCTCCCTACTGATTCCAAATGCCATCTTTACCACGTTCAAACTTCCTCTGGCTCCATTGATCTCTCCTTCTAATCTTGTGCCAGTACCACCCTTTGGCATTATTGGAGGTTGAGTAACATTTTAATATCCGGTAAATGAAATTCTCTTTATTCCCATCTGTTTCAAACGTTTCTTGGCTCCTTCACCTGACCGTGCCTGCAGAGTTCTGCTGCTGCTGAGACCTGGCTGCAGGCGTCTGCCCTCACCCTCGGTCGGTCCAGCACCTTGGGTTTAGTTCAGTTCTTACCTCTCCTAGGCCGCACATGGGCGAGGCTTGTTCTTTACTTTCTCAGGAGAAAAGAGGTGGCCGCTTTTTCCCAGTGCGTGCCCTGGGAGGGCCGCAGGGCAGAGATTGGCATCAGGCTGCGGGGACCTGTGGGAAGAAAGCTGGAGAAGCCCTCTGAGGTGCCCGCGTCGCGTTTCCCGATCGCGTCGCACTGGCCAGTGACTCTTCCCAGGCTCCGGCTGAGGCCGCCTGTTCCTGTTCCCAGCCTCACCAAGCTCCTCCGGCCTTATCGTGCTCCGAGTTCGTTTCCTGTTTCTTGGGTTGAGTAAACTGTGTTTATCTAGAACCAGTTTAGAGCACTGCTCACTTTCCTGGCTAAAATGCACCTTGGCACCCATTGACCAGGAGACTCCCGGTCAGCAGCCTGCAGGTGGACTTGGGCAACGCAGTCTGTCCAGGCCGTGAATGTTCTGTGGGAGGTGAAGAGTGGGGGCCCTATCTCCGTGAAAGGGTCCGGGGGTTCCCATGTTGGTGCCTCCTGCCCCGTGGTGCCCACTTGCTGGGCGTTCTCCTGTTGCTGGTTTCCCTTTCCCCGGTCTGTTTAGCTGCTGCTGACACAGAGGTCCCAGTTGTTGCTGAGTGCAGTCTACGACAGGAAAGGATGGCGGTTCTGGGAGTGGAGGGGCCTGAAGGAGTCGCTGTGCCCACTGTGCGGACTGGTCACCGTCTTGGAGGATGCTGATGCAGAGACGGCAGTGGGTCCCCTACAGTGAGCAGTGACAGCCACGGGAAGCAGCTGGGAGAGGGGACGGCTCTGTGGGTGTGAGGTGTGGGCTGTGGACAAGACTGGTCCTGGAAGCGTGGGTTTTGTGTTACAGGTGTCTGGAGCTGACGGGACACAGTCCAGCAGGAGGGCACCTGCACAGGATCTGTGTTTAGAGGACCAGCCAGCAGCATTACTGTTAAGTGGGTGGCAAGGACTTCCTTTTGTCAGGAACCATTTATAGCAGCATTCTCAGGCTGTACAAAGTTACCAACTTATATATTAGCCTGCTGTAGATGTGTGGAATTTAGAATCCTGCCTGTGGTTATGTTGGCCAGGCAGGACCAGATGATGCTGTGAACCCTGTGTGGCCGTGGGCCTCATGTGGCCTGGGGGCTGCACGCTCCCCTGGCCAGCCCTGGATGCCAACTCCCATGGGCTACATCTGGTGGTTTTTCCGCTGGCTGGTTTCCAGGCTAAGAGAGTGGAGGGTTGAAGGAGAGGTGGTTGGCGGCCTGCTCGCGGCTCCTCCAGTGCTGCATGTGCTGGCACTCTGGGCCCTCCTGACCCCAGAACCTGCCTTCCCGGGGCCCGCCCTCCCAGCACAGTTAGCACCAGTTCACCCCCTATGCTTTCATCGCTGGCCTGATGGTGAATGGGTCCTGCTGTGGCTGCTCACTGAGGACCCCAGAGTTTCCCCACCTGCTGTTGGCCTTTGCGGCCATTGATTCTAGGCAGACTCTGAGGAACAAGACACCCAGGTAGGAGTTAAAGTGTTGGAGGTCACCTGCTTGCCTTAACTGAGGACATTGCTGAAGGGAGCCTCAACATTTGCCCTATAGACTAGTGCAGATGGTTAAATGTCATTCATCCAGTTGGTTCTTGGGAACCAGAAGGTCAGGGGTGACTGGAGTCATAGATCCAGAGCCCGGAAGGAGCAGTGCAGCTGGAAGAGCTTTGGGCATCGCGCGTGCGATGCTGGTGGTGGCCACAGGCACGTGGCAGGTGCCGACTGGGCCGTGGGTCCAGCACACACAGAGGGTTTCAGAAGCTAATGTCTGCATCAGGTGTTCTGCTTTCAGTTCAGTCCAACCCCAGTTGGTAACTGGCCGGTTTTGTCCAGGTTTTTGTGCAGGCCGGGCAGACAAAGGGCCTGTGAAAGTGGTTGAAGTATGTGTCAGGCTGCCTACCTTATCTGTGAGGACTGTTTCCGCAGCCTTATCAGTAGTGGCTGAGAGACTGGAAAAAAATGTGGGTGATAACCCCTGGCACCCACGTGTGGGATGGAGCAGCTGCTGCCTGGGCTGGCCAGTGCACTCCGTCACTCCAATCCATCTGTAGCACGGTTGGAGCTTCTTCAGCTTTCTGGCCTCGAGCCTTGGTCTTCTCACCCATTAAATGCGCACAATGATACCTCCCACACCTCATGGAGATGCTATGCGAGATGGGTTGTTGCAATGCATTAATTGTTCCGTTAAAGGGTAGCCGTTGGTGGTTGTTGAGCAAGCTTCTCTTGCAGAGGGGTCTGCACCACACAGCTCCAGCTCCCCCGTTACAGTTAGGTGTTGTTGACATGGCATGCTTGGCATGTGCCACAGTAGCGGGCAGGCGAGGTGAGGTGACGGCAGCATTCACCTGCTGTCTCTGACCCTGTCTGCTTGGATTCTCATGTTTGGAGTGGGACATATCTGTGGTCGCCACTGGTTAACCCTTCCATCATCTGCTGAAAACCTGGGCTCGGCGGACAGGTGCCTCTTTGCTCTTAAGGCCCTGGAGATGCGTCCCCTGCTGGTGGCCAGGCCGATGCTGAGGTGGGCTCAGTAGGGCTGGCTTTCGCCTCGTGTGTGTTATGGTTTGGCAGGAGTGTGATGTGACGTCAGGATTTCTGTTCTGCCTCCCCAAAGCACTTGTGACTGCTCATGTCCAAAGGACGTGCCCAGCGAGACAGTGAACATTTTAAAAGAGGAAACCACACAGCCGGAAACCACACTCTCGGGAGGGGAAGCTATAACTGAATACATTCACTGCGCTGCGGGGACCCACGCGGAGCTCCGCGGCAGTGGGCCTGGCAATGCCAGTCACCTCCTGCCGGCTGTCCAGGAACGACCAGTGCTGCTCCCACTGGCAGTGGGGTTCCACCCTCCGTGTCCCTTTTGGGGACCAAACTGGGTCCACACACCAACCAGAGGTGCTTCAGGTGGCCCCTGGCCTCCTCCATGGAGCAGGGGCCATGAGAGTTCCTAGGGTCAGTGTTGGAAGCAGGGTTCACCCCTGAGCCTGGGCACGTGTCCCCAGGGACTTGCTGCCTGGTTCCCTGCTGTAAGGCTGCTGGCCACACGGGCCTGTCTGAGCCCGGCTGGGGGTCACGATGGCACACAGTCCCGCTCCAATGCTGGTGTGCAGCAGGTGGGGCATGCCCATGGGGCGGTGCCCACGGGGCTGGGGCCTGTGTGCCTTGCCCTGAGGCTCTCCTTCCTGCTTTGCTGAGGCCTCATTTCCTTGCTGATTTTTCTTATCCTGTGGGTATTTTAGTTGCCTTAAGCCCCTTTTTGTACAGGGAAGAGCATAAATATCTAAGTTTTACCATGGAAAACCCTGTTTTCCTGTCTTCTCTCACTTGAGAGGTGAGTCTGTCCTGAGCGCCTGGGACTTCCTGTTTTGTGACCATAGATGAGTGAGTAACAGCGGCGGGGGGAAACTTGCTGAGTCCCCCATCCTTTAGTGAGCAAAGGGGAGTGGAAGTCACATGCTTCAAAACTTAGAACTCCTTTTACTGTTTTTCTCTCAGTTTTGTGCCTGTTACATAAAGAAAAAATATTTCTTTTACACAGAAGTAAAATCTCATCAGTCCTTAACATTGCTTTGGTTGCTTGTTACATTAAAGAGTACGCCTAGGTAGTTTTTTCTCCTAAGCTTTGGATACACCCCTCCCCTGGGGAGGCAGAATGTGTAGGACAGCCGGTGCACACAGCCAGGCACACCGGGAAGGCGCTTCCAAGTGAGGACCTGCGCCCGTGCTGAGCTCCCCGGGAACAGGGGCGGGTGTGTCACACCAGGCTGACCATCACTGTGACGCTCCAGGAACCTGGCCTGCTGCTGAGGCGGACAGGGCCCCAGCAGCCTGGCATCAGCCCGGGGTGCTCATTTGCCCTGTCCTGCTCTCCACTAAGAGTGCGACTGAAGCTGTCCCAGTAGTTGAGATCATTCCATCGCTCGCTGGGGTTGGAGCGTGCAGGCTTCCTACAGAGAAATCTCCGCAGTCCCCAGGAAACAGCTGGGTGCCCTGGAACTTTCCCTGGGTCGCTTAGAAGGCAGCCAAGGATCCCTGGGCAGAGGCACCGTGACGCTGTGGGGACGCTGTGAAGGCTCTCTGAGGGGGAACCGGGGCTCCTGCTTAGGGGACGGGGCGTGTCTGTAGGACACATGGAGCCCCCTGAGCCCCACAGTGCCACTAGGATGGGCGTCTCTGCCTCCTTGGGCTCTCCCTGAAACGAGGGTGCATTTTACAGTTGCTGCATCACGGGGTGACAGTGGCTGTTGCGTGTTTTCAGTAGGAAGAACCGTGACACATCTTACAGGTGTTACGGCGAGGAGACCTCAGCCACTGGGCTACCACGCCGGGCCCGTAAACTGTTTTTAAACTTAACTAATTCCATGTTTTAGAATGTCAGTTTCGGGGCCAGTATGGTAGCCTATTGACTGAGGTCCTGGCCTTGAATGTGCCAAGACCCCAAATGGGCGCCGGTTCTAATCCCAGCAGCCCTACTTTCCATCCAGCTCCCTGCTTGTGGCCTGGGAAAGCAGTCGAGGACGGCCCTGGGACCCTGCACTCGTGTGTGGGAGAACCGGAGGAGGCTCCAGGCTCCTGGCTTCAGATCGGCACAGCTCTGGCCATCGCGGCCACATGGGGAGTGAATCAACGGATGGAAGATCTTCTCTGTCTCTCCTCTCTGTAAACCTGCCTTTCCAATAAAATTTTTTTAAAAATCTTAAAAAAAAGAAAACATCAGTTTTGTAGGCAGGGAGAAATTTTGTGGCTCAGTTAGTGACGGTTACACAGCAGGCATAGGCTTCGTACCTTGGAAGTGTACTGAGGTGCGGAGGCGCTGTGTCCTGGGAGCGTACCTGGCCCTGACTCTGCATCCCTCCCGATGCGGAGATGTGAGGGTAGCAGTGATCACCTCTGCCCACCTCCTCCCACCTGCTGCGCCCACTTTGCCCGCGATGTACCTCTTTCCACACGTTAGATTCCTTTTCAGGTTGCTCTCTGGGTGGCTGTTTAGCCCAGCACAGCAGAGCGCCTGCCGTCCCTGGGCCTGGCTCGTGGCTCCAGCTTCCTGCTTCCCTGCTGACCCCCGGCTCGGCTCCGGCCACCATGGGCATTTGAAGTACAGGTGCTCATGCTCTGCCTCTCCCATCGTCCCTCTTTCCTTCAAACAAAGTACATGGTTCCTCAAGTCACTTTTTCACTCTAACATACACAACTGCAACAGTGAAGTAAGATAACAGCAGCATCCCCTGGGACGAACAGAAGTGTGCATCCGTGACTTTCTTCATCCTGACTTTGCAGTTTCCCCTTTCTGTGTGTGTTTCCTGGGAGCAGTGGTTGTCGTGGCTGTACGCCCTCAGCTCTCAGCACCCAGCCAGAGGGAGGGTGGAGGAATGCTGTGGGAAGGTGCCTGCCTCTGATGCCGCATCCGTAGCCAGCTGCCAGATGGGCAAACCCTGTCCTTCCTCCCTCAGTCTGCACTGCTGTGGGAGCACATGGCTCTTCTCCCTGCTGCCTGCTGCTTCCTTCCCACTCTCTCTGTCCCCATCCTGGGGACCTCAGAGCACACCTGTATTGCCTCATCTCTCTATCCTTCTGTGGGTTGAAGAGTGCAGAGATGCCCATGTCTCCGTGGGCTCTGCCAGGCCCTGAGGGGCCTACCTCCATGTCTGCATGACAGCGCTGCTTCCCTCCACACGCCAGGCTCTGCCTCAGACCCTCCGCCGTCCCTCTGCCCTGGAAGAGCCTGGGCTGCCTTCTGTACCCCACTCTCTTGGGGAACTTGTCTCAAGTTTGCAGGCTCTGCTGAAAGCTGTCCGTCTCCTGATGTCAGCTGTGTGTTAGGGGTCGTGCTTGGCACCTGCTGGGCAGAGAAAACATGCTGAGTGAGCAGTTCATTTGTTGGTGGAGATGCTGGTGGTGATTTTATGCAGCGGGGGCTTTGTGGCCAGGGAGTTGGTGGTCTCAGAAAATGAACCTTCCCATCCTGATCTCACTGCCCTGGCCATTTGGGTTTCATCTGGAGCCAGGGCTTAGGCCAAGATTCTCTAAGGATTGGGCGGGTTCCGCGATTCCCGGTGGCCTGAACGGCCATTAGGAGGAAGTAGACAGATCAGGCAGCTTCAGGGCAGGCAACTGGGGAACTTCTGCTGGCTAACCGATACTTCCTTTAATTCCAGAACGTGGTCTAAGAGCATTCCTGGGAAGGTGGAGTTCTTCTCCAGCGAGGGCTCGGACACATCGGGGCCGATCCCCGTGGTGCCCCTGCGGGGCGTGGACGACTCGTACCCTCCGCAGAAGAAGTCATTCATGATGCTCAAGTACATGCACGACCACTACCTGGACCGGTATGAGTGGTTCATGCGCGCGGACGACGACGTGTACATCAAAGGAGACCGCCTGGAGAACTTCCTGAGGAGTCTGAACAGCAGCGAGCCCCTCTTCCTGGGGCAGACGGGCCTGGGCACCACGGAGGAGATGGGGAAGCTAGCCCTGGAGCCCGGGGAGAACTTCTGCATGGGGGGGCCTGGTGTGATCATGAGCCGCGAGGTCCTGCGCAGGATGGTCCCGCACATCGGAAAGTGCCTGCGGGAGATGTACACCACGCATGAGGACGTGGAGGTGGGGAGGTGTGTCCGGCGCTTCGCTGGCGTGCAGTGCGTCTGGTCCTACGAGGTAAGAGCAGAGTTCCTCCTTGTAGGAAGAACTGTTGGCCTTAACAGTGCTGGGGAGTCGGTCAGTGAGGCATGGAGTGGGGGGCCTCCAGAGACAGAGACGTCACAGTGATGTGTTCATGATCATCCTGCAAGTCGTCCTCTCTGACCTGTGCCAGCTCCATGTGTGGAAGTGCCAGCGTCCTCTGCTCCAGCCTCCCAGAGGCCCGTTCTCCTCCCATGCTGGCCCATGCAGGGCAGGAGCCCACACGAGGAGTGATGGTGAAAGGCCGGGATTGATTTTGCATTTACCTGGACCTTGGCTTCGGGGTCGGTCATCCTGTCTGAGGGCACTCTGTTTATCCTCTCATCAAGGCTGACTGGTGACCTCTCAGCTCTCCTGACATGCAAAGGGCGGCGTCCACAGAAGCTGCGCTTGTTAGGTGTCGGGGGAGTGGGCTGTTAGAGCTGGCCACTGTATTGGCAGGTGTGTGTCCCTGGCCTGCACCGTGGAAGCCAGCCATGCGGTGTCAGGAGGGGCAGACCGTGGGCCTCACGAGGGGCCCGGGGGGCTGCCAGCCCGCTCACGCAGCGACAGGCACCAAATGCAGAGGTTGTAGTTCTTGCCCATACTGTTCTCATCCCACATTTGCTGTGACTGTTTCTTTGCGAGTAGTGGGTGGGGTTTCAAGGGTGCTTTTCCGTGTGATTTTAGATGGTAAATTCATGAAGTTACAATTGGTATGTGATCCTGCACATCCAGCCCCAATCCCCCGGTGAACAGACACCTGTTCTCAATCCAGGGGAAGCCTCTTGGTGAGGGTTTATGCAGCAAAGAAAGTTACTTGGGGCTTCTTTCTGTTTTATGCAGACTACAGCTGGTTGTATCTTTTTTTTTAAATTGGAAAGGCTGATTTATAGAGAGGAGAGGCAGAAAGATCTTCAGTCTGCTGGTTCATTTCCCAAGTGGCTGCTGTACTGGAGCTAAGCTGATCTTAAGCTTCTTTGAGGTCTCCCACGCAGGTGCAGGGTCCCAAGGCTTTGGGCCATCCTCTACTGCTTTCCCAGGCCACAAGCAGGGAGCTGGATGGGAAGTGGATCGGCCAGGACACGAACTGGCACCCACATGGAATCCCGGCGCAGGCAAGGCAGTCTTTTGGCCACTGAGCCATTATGCCAGGCCCTGGCAGTATCTTTTAAAATTTATCTATTTTAAAGACAATTACAGAGGAAAAGAGAGAGATTTTCCATCCACTGGTTGACACCCCAAATGACCACAATGGCCAGCACTATGCCAGGCCAAAGCCAGGAGCTAGGAGCTTCTTCCAGATCTCCCAACTGGTTCAGAGGCCCAAGCAATGGAGCCGTCTCCTGCGCCTTTCCCAGGCGCATTAGCAGGGAGCTGGATTAGAAGAGGAGTAGCCAGGACTCAAGCTGATGTTCACACAGGCTGGTGGCCCCCACTTGTGGTATATCCTGAATTTTACGCAGTGATAACATTACAGTGAAACTGTGTAATGCCTTTGTGTGTTTTGGAATTCTTCGCACTTAGAAGCCTTGCTGGAGTTGCATTGGGTAAGACCTGTCTTATGCAGTCCTAATGATCCATGGACATCCAGCAGAGCCAGGATCTTGGACTTTATCACGAACTTGGCTGTAGGATTAGTGCCAAGATGGAATTGGTGTCGTCCAAGGGCCACGGGATCAGAGGATATCTTCAGCCATTTTTTTCCCTACATTCAGGGGGCCTGGCGTCACCCTGTCTGGGTGCTTGAAGTCACCCCTTAGACTTAATGTTCCCTGCAAGTGGCCTTGGGGCCTGTGTCAGGGACAGCAGCATTGAGGTCCACCCTGGGGTAGGCCAGTCAAGGGCCCTTTCTGCTTTTTGGTCCTTTGAGTGCATAATGGCAGCAGAGTTCCTGAGCTGGCTCTCCAGGGGCTGTGCCTGCCCCTTCCTCCATCTGCCTTGTGGGAGCTCTCTCCCTGCTCCTGTCTGTTGCCTGTTTGCAGTCTTGGCCCCACATCTGCTGGGATGCTGTCTGTATGATGGTTTTGTTAGAGCACTTTGTTCTGGAAGCGATGTCTTTTCCCGGATGGCGTCATGGGATTTTTACTCTGCATGCATTGTGAATCCAGGCCCAGTGTCATTCACTATTCTTCCTGGTGGGGTTTTTATTCTACGCACATCACAACTCCATTCTCTCCTCGTGGCTTGTGCTCTGTATGTCTCATTAAAAGGAGTTCTTCCCTTCTCTGGGCCACAAACGTCTGTCCGGTGTATTTTTGAGTGTGCTGCAAGCTTCTCCCTTGCAGCTTCTTGTTGTCCTTTATAAAGGTTTTCTCCTTTGGGATGTTTGCTGTGTGCTCAGGCCTCTCCGTTTCCTTTTCCATGGGGCTTGGGTGCCGCCCGCTGGAGTCCTCAGGAGTCCTCCTTCCTGAGCCCAGGAGCTTTCAACACACCAGCCTGCGGTTGGAGTATAAACTCGGACTATTCCAGAATCTTTTGAGAAACATCATTGAAAAATAATTGAAGCAGTTTTATTTAGACAAACATGTGAAACACTATACCATACTGTTATTAATAGGTAACGAAAAGATGGCTTAAGCATTCTCTTCAGTTTATTTATTTTTTAATTTAAAGTTTTTTTTTTTAATTGGAAAGGCAGATCGAATTTATGAAGAGAAGGAGAGCCACAGAGAGAAATCTTCCATCCACTGGTTGACTCCCCAAATGGCCAAGCAGCCAGAGTTAAGCTGATCCGAGTCTCCCATGTGGGTGCAGGGGCCCCAGCCTGTCCACCGGTGCACTCCCTATGGGGCCCTGGGACTTAGTTCAAGTCCATGTGGGTGGCAGGAAGCTGACCACCCATCAAGAGCCATCATTCCTGTGTGTTAACAAGAAGCTGAAATGACGAGCAAGGCTGAATCAGACACTCTGCCATGGGATACGGGCGTCCTGCTTGATGGCTTCATGCCAGGCTGAATGCCCACCCCAGCCCTGATTTCTGGGTGTCAGACTTGCTCGGAACCCCTCTGTGTGGTTATCTGACTCCCTTGCAGCTTCCAGCTCTTCTCTTCGCCGCCCAGTGTGGAGTGACTTCCTTGGGTCTGCCATGCTTGGAGTTTGTCAAGCTTTTTGGGTGTGCAGGTTGCTTTTCTTTGGAGTTGAACGCGTAGCACTCGTTTCTTTAGATATCGTTTCCACCGCACCCTCCACTGCCTTGAAAGTCCATCCTACATCTGCTGGTCTCTGTTAACTTTTCTGTATGGGTCGTCTCAATCGATTTTGGTTATTACACTGACTCCTCTGCTCAAATCTGCGGTGAAGTGAGGTGAGGTGGTTTTTTTTTTTTAAGATTTATTTATTTATTGGAAAATCAGATATACAGAGAGGAAGAGAGAAAGCGAGGAAGATCTTCTATCCACTGATTCACTCCCCAAGTGACCATAACGGCTGGAACTGAGCCAATCTGAACCTAGGATCCAGGAGCTTCTTCTGGGTCTCCCACGTGGGTGCAGAGGCCCAAGGTTTTGTGTCGTCCTTGACTGCTTTCCCAGGCCACAGGCAGGGAGCTGGATGGAAAGTGGAGCTGCTGGGATTAGAACTGGCGCCCATATGGGATCCCGGCGTGCTCAAGGTGAGGACTTTAGTCACTAGGCTACCACACTGGGCCCTGCAGTGAGATTTTCATTTAGAAACTGCCTTACAGCTCCAGAATGTTGCTGGACTCTTTAAAATAATAGTCCTAATAGTAATAACAGTGATGTCTGATTGTTTAGTGCTGCGCTTTTTCGGCTGTGAGTGAGCCATGCTGTCTTGTTTCTGTGCCCATCTCAGCTGCTTATAGGATCTGAGGATTTATTGAGATGTCAGACTCTGGCCCCTCCCCAGGGCTTGGCGGTGCCGCTGCTGTGGCAAGTTCTCAGAAGTGGCCCGGTGAAGTCTGTCCCTGTCGTGTGTGGTCTCAGGCGTCCGCGTGCTTTGCTTAGTGGACAGAGATCTCTTGGGTGCCCGGAGGGGAGACACATCCTTGTGTTGGCCGAGAAAGTGTGTACCTGTTGGTGCTTGCCCTGAACACGGGCCAGGCAGTGGAAAGCTGTGCCTTGGCCGTCACTTCCTGCTTGTGCAATGCCTCGAGGTCAGGTAGTGACGGGGCTTTCAGCCTCCTTCCTGAGCTTGTCAACAACCCCTTGCGTGCCTGTGACCTTCTGGGCTCTCAGCAATCTAGACTTTGGGACTTTGCAGAGCCCCAGATGGACAGCTTCTTCCCCTGCTTCTCTTCTGAAGTGGTTCTCGCCCATTCTTTGCCCTGTCTGCCACACCCTCGGGCAGTTCAGTATTGAGCAGTTGCTTGTGTTTGATTTTGACAAATACGCAGAGGCTGCAGGGAGCTCTGGGCAGGCTGGTTAGGACAGCCATGTCAGGGAGGCCTCAGGACCCCACAGAGGTTGCGTGATGGCAGTTTGCTAGGAATGGGACTTTGAAGGCGCTCCAGCGCCCCCCCCTCCCCCGCGCCCCCCGTGACCCTTGTGGTGGCTTCAGGCTGCATTTTTTTCGCTGTGATTGTGGGCTTGGGTTTTGAAAGCCAAAGCAGACCCGGGAAGTGGGGGATGGGAGTAGGGCAAGTTAAAAATGGCACAAAGCTTAGTTCCCATAAACACTCCATATCATTACACACTGTCAGCTCAAATCCAGAGCCCGGAAATGGTCGCCTCTGACAGTGTTTGGCAGTGGTCTCTCTACTTTTCTGGAAGAAAGGATGTTTGGGGGGTCTTTAATAAAACTCTTCCCTTTCATTGAAGCCACCCGAGACCATCCGTTGCGGTGTCCCTACACTTGAATTTGCTTTGTGTGGCTAGGTGAGCTTCTCCTAAGTATCCCTTTCTATTCTGTTTGGGAAGTCAGAGTGTTGTGCCTTAAGAATTAGAAAGACTTGGGACCGGCTAGTTACAACATGCCTGCATATCCATTTATTACTTAAGTTATGGTGTCTGTTGGCAGCAACACACTGCCCACTTGGG